GACGACCCCCCCCCCCCAGACCAGTGTTCCCTCTAAGCTGCGTTCGTGTGAGCCAGCTCGCAGTTTCTTAGCCTCCTTTTTTGGGGTGATAGTGAGACATTGCAAAAATGGTTTTTAGCAGAGATGAGATAGTCCAGCAGAGCCAGAGTAAGATAATTCAGACTGAGAGCCCATGTGTGATCAAAATATAAAGTTTTTACTAAATTCTAGCATGGGGAAGGGTAACTGGGATGAAGATAACAACAGAGCAAAATCGGCTACATCCTTACACTACAAAGACAAAACTAGAAGAGAGAGGAGAGTATGGCTGCTCTTCTTCTTCTTCAGATGGGAAGAGAAGCCATAAAATGGCAATACACCTTGACACTTTAGTCCCAATCAAATCCCTAGATCAGGGAGAAAATTCCCGGGCTTCCTACATCTAAAGAACATTGGTTACATGAGACACATGCGACTTCCTGTGAGTAACATAAACAAACATTTCACCCCAGATATACTGAGTGTTTTCAACTTGTAATACCCAACACTCCGGCTCACACACTTTTGTCTTAGCTCAGGGAGGAGGGCTCCAGAGCAGATTAAATCTATGCAGCAGCCCAATTGCTCGCTCACAGCTTTCATGCCAGGAGCTCAGAGTCAAATTTCTGCTCACAAGACTCCCCAGCGAAGAGGGAGCCTTGTCCCCAACCAATGCTCCCTCTAAGCTGTGGTGTCTTGTGAGGAAAGATTCTACTCTGTGAGCTCCTGGCATTGCAGTTGTGAGCAGGCAGGTGGTTTGGCTGCTGCATAAATGAGTTTGCTCTGGAGCCCTCCTTCCTTCCTGAGCTAAGATGAAAATGTGTGAGCCGGAGGCTAAGAAACTGCGAGCTAGCTCACACTAACTCAGCTTAGAGGGAACACTGTCCCCAACCTGCCTCTGCGGGAGAGTGGAGTCCAGGCGCCGCTGCCCTGGCCCCCGGGCAGGCCCGAGAGGCCTTTCAGACAGAGTGAAGGATCAGGCCCTGGCGGCAGGGCCGAAGCCCACCCTGCCTGGAGGCTGCCTGGCTGCTCCAGGCCCCCCCCCTCCTAGGGTTGCCAGGTCTGGGTTGGAAAATACCTGGAGACTTTGGGGGTGGAGCCAGGAGAGGGCGTGGTTTGGGGAGGGGAGGGCCTCAGCATAGTACAATGCCATAGAGTCCACCCTTCAAAGCGGCCATTTTCTCCAGGGGAGCTGATCTCTGTCAGCTGGAGATCAGTTGTAAAAGCAGGAGATCCCCAGGCCCCACCTGGAGGCTGGCAACCCTACCCCCCTGTTAAGTCACTCGCTTAACGGAGAGTGATTCAGCAAGAACACAACTTTATTCTTCCACTCCAACATGGATCAACATCTGATAGCCAGAACAGAACAGTTCAGCTTTTACATGGCAGTTGTCCTGCTTTTAAACTCTCCCGGCTAAAGTGATTGGCTAGGTGCCTCCTGGGCTAGCAATGCGATTGGATGGATTTGGATCCTAGCCCAGGACGAAGCTCAACATGGCAAGTCCATTAGATGTTTCACATGCATCATGCATTCCATGGCAGCGATGGAATACATCTCTCTCACACACACACACCCCTTCGCAGGGAAGTGTTCTCGATCGCGTCCTCGGAGGGAGGCCCTCGGTGGAGGGAAGGTGCTCCTCGCACACAGGGCCGGCTCCAGCTTATTTTGCACCCTAGGCGAGGATCCCTTCTCGGGGCCCCGTGCACCCACCAATTTTCAAAAATAAATGAATTTTAGGAAGAATGAAAAACACAAATAATCAAGAAACTCCCAGAGCATGGGGCCAGGTGCAGTTTGGTGCCCCTAAGGGCCATCCCGCTCTAGGCGATCGCCTAGTTTGGCTAGTGAGTGAGCCGGCCCTGCTCGCACACCACCACCCCGGGCATGAGAACCGGTGCCCATGTGTCTCGCTGGGCCGGAGCAAGCCGCGGAGAAGGCTGCGCCGGGGCAGGGGTTTCCTGTGGGGTGGGGGGGACCCTCCACCCTGCACTTCCGGGCAGAACCAGCTTCGTCCTGAATGAGCCGGTTGCCCGGCAGGGCTGCTCCCAGGAGACCAGCGGCACAAGTGAGGCCTGGCTCGTCCGAGGGAGAGGGCGGTGCAGGGGGCGACTTCCTCTCTTCCCTTGGGGGGGGGGGTGGCTCCCAGTCCCAGGGCGACGCCGAATTAGGCGAGCAATGACCCCCCAGCCAGTGTTCCCTCTCAGCTGAGTTGGTGTGAGCTAGCTCACAGTTTTCTAGCCTCCGGCTCACACATTCTTGTCTTAGCTCAGGAAGGAGGGCTCCAGAGCAGTGTTCCCTCTAAGCTGAGTCAGTGTGAGCTAGCTCACAGTTCTTTAGCCTCCAGCTCACACATTCTTGTCTTAGCTCAGGAAGGAGGGCTCCAG